AAAAAAAAAAAAAAAAGAAACCCCAAAGAGCTTTGCAACCTGCCCCCAGGACTGGGGGAAATGAAGAAGGAAACCTTCAGGGCCCTTGGGTATTCAGTCTCACTGCTGCTGTGTGTTGAACTGTGTCCCCCACAAAAGATGATAAAGTCCTATCCCCTGTATCCCCTGGTACTCATGCAAGTGACCTTATTTGGAAATAGGGTCTTTGCAGATATCATTCAGATGTTATAATGAGATCATACTGGAGTGGGGGGCCCTTATCCAGTATGATTGTGTCCTAATGAGAAGAGAAAGTACAAGAAGGCATGCAGAGATGGAGGCAGAGATTGGAGGAGCTGGGAAATGCCAAGGATTCAGACAGCTGCCAGAAGCTGGATGAGGCAAGGAAGAAGCCTCTACTACTCTTAGGAGGGAGCACAGTTCATGAGATTGCCCATCTTCAGAGCTGGGAAAAGATATTCCTGTCATTTGAACCCCTCCCGCTGTAATAGCACCCCCAACCTCATCTTCTGGTCCTTTTTCATCTTCAAGCAGGACCCAAGATCCCTGCAGTTCCATTGAATCGAATCTTTGAGGGCATTGCTTGCCTTCTGCTCATGTGCCTACCCCTGCCCTGGACACGGTGGCTCTGTAGGCTGAGCCACCTGCCTTCAATTTGGTCTAAACCAGGCATCCTCAAACTACGGCCCGTGGGCCACATGCAGCCCGCCTAGGACATTTATCCGGCCCGCCGGATGTTTTTGCCGCCATTGCCAGTCCTGCTTAGCAGCCGACTTGTCCCAGGGCCCGCAGTCCGGCCCTCCAATGGTCTGAGGGACAGTGAACTGGCCTCCTGTTTAAAAAGTTTGAGGACCCCTGGTCTGAACTGACCTTTTCACCAGATGTTAGGGGTAGCCCTACTCTCATTCAGGGGTGGTTCTCTGGCAAGGACTTATTTTTCTCTTTGAGACAGGGTCTTATTGTGTCACCCAGGCTAAAATGTCATGGTGTCAGCCTGGCTCACAGGAATTTCAAATTCCTAGGTTCAAGCAATCTTCCTGCCTCAGCCTCTTGAGCAGCTAAGACTATAGGTGCCTACCACAACCCCTGGCTAATCTTTCTATTTTTAGTAGAGACAGGGTCTTACTCTTGCTGAGGCTGGTCTCCAGCTCCTGTGCTCAAGTGATCCTCCTGCCTTGACCCTCCAGAGTGCTAGGATTATAGGCATAAGCCATTATGCCCTGTTTCTGGCAAGAATTCTTAATTGAAGTAAAGGTTTCCCTCAAAATTAAAATCTATCCTGTAACCTGACTGCATATTGTCCAGTTCTGTCACATCCACTATGGACAAACATAAAATGCCTCTTCATCTTCCACCCCAAGCTGGCAGGACACCTGAGGAGAGTCAACAAAGTTTGCTTCCAACAATCTGGGATGTGGGCTATTGATCCTATCTATCTCTTCTGCCAGAGCATTTGGTGGAGCTGGTCACTGATCTCTTCTACCTTCATGATTTCTTTGCCAGCTTGTCCTTATGTCTGTTTCATCTTGTACTTCATCAATATGTTCAATTTCTCCTTGTTCTTTTTCTATAGCAGCAAGTCCTGTGTCCTTGTGGGAGTGGGAAATGGCCTTAGTTTCTTGAGAAGTGAGAAAAATCTAAGAACCAGATTTTTTGTTGTTGTTGACAAAAGTTTTATTAGAGAAGGAAAAATTGCCAAATCATTGACTTCTGTTGGTCATCATTTCACTTGCATTTTATAGAAAATTAGGAGCAAAGACTCATGTTAAAAAAGAAAGCAGTCTTCTATCAAAGGTATTATAGAAGAAAATGTTATTAGTTGATAAAACCTACTCTATAAGCATATAAGGGAAATATGTATTACATTGGAAACATTAGGGCAAGTTAAAAACTTAACATGACTTTTCCACCTCTGTAACTAAATAAACCCTACATACAGTGGTGAAATTTTTCCCCAGAAACACTACATGCATCTGTATTCTTTTCAAAAAGAACCAGGAGTGCTGAGGTTACAGCTAATTCTATTTCTTTTTTTTCTTTTTAAAATTTATTATTTTTTATTAAATCATAACTGTGTACATTCATGCAATCATGAGGTACAATGTGCTGATTTTATATAC